GCTGTCATGGTCGGTGGTGTCATAGGCTCCATTCCATGTGGACATTCGCCTGCATCTTCAGGACAAACAAACAGAGACCAGTGGCTGCAAAGCGTCAGGCCATAAAGCATTGATCTCAGCGAATGCTAGCTCGCACTTGATTTCTGTTCCTTTTTTTCTCAACGAGGACCCATTTGGCATTGCATATTCATAGTGCACTTTTGTATAGACGAGAGCAGATATTCAAGCCTCTATTTAAGACCTTTTGTTATCTTTTACATGATTGCATTACTATGGCTTTCTGTTTGTTTTTATTTGCATTATTCTCTAATTGCACAGGCATGAGCAGATGATGTGCGGGTGTCTCACTGTAAATGGGTCTGTCTCGATGGCGAGGGCCGTCACCCCTGTGTTTCAGAGACTTTTTGTAATGTGATGATGATGATACTAAACAGAAATGAAAAAGAGGAGATAAAAAAATATATATATATATATATATATATATATATATATATATATATATATATATATATATATATATATATATATATATATATATATATATATATATATATATATATATATATATATATATATATATATATATATATATATATATATATATATATATTTGAAAAAAGTAAAGATAAATGTGAATCACTTTTTTTTGTATTTTGTTGTTCATTTTTTTTTTTTTTTTTGCTTTATTTATTTGTGCTTTTGAAATCATGGGACCTTGACCTTTTTTCAGGCAATTTTTAACCTCAAATACTCGAAAAAGTGCTAACACTTTTAACAGTTTGAAGTGATATATTGTCTGGGTTGGTGTTGTATATTACAGTACAAAAGACTTGTAAAAAAAACTGTACAGTACATATTCTCTTATTTTACAGACTCGGGGGCCGATTTTTGCATTAAGAGGCGCTTTTTTTTTGAATGATTTACTAACTGCCACGAGCGTTTTGCGTGCTGCTTTTGCGCCCTGCACACCTCACATTTTAACCACCTGCTGCGCCTTTTTGCTGTTGCATGAAAAAAGCAGTTGTAAAAAAGTCAACTCTGAGCGGAAAAAAGTATGTTACGTCAGTCGGGTTTGTTTCTTTCTACAATCAACTAAAAGCAGAGGCGGGGTTTCTGTAGAGGTGCCTGCAGTGTTTGTGTTGTCAAAACAATCACTTTTGAGACTTTTGGAGATAGAGGAAAGACTTGTGGTTGCTGTTTTAAGTTATGAATCACAAATGTTGAATATGACAATATTACTAAATTTTGAAATTATAATAATATCAACAGCAACACTTGCACACAATACCCAGCTGATTCAGTCGTTGCCTGGTGACATAAAAAGAGCACCACGCTTCTTTTTTTCTTGTCAACAAAAGGAAGTGTGGTGCGCCTTGCATTTTTTGTAACTTAAAATCGCGTTCGGTTGTGATCGGCCCCTTATTTCTCTATATAATACTTCTTATACATTATATTATTTCAAACTACTAAAGTGTCAATAAAAGAAACTTTGTTAAATGGTAGAGTTGAATTTTTTTAATCAAAAGTCGACAAAGATCCCATAATGCATTTCACAAACGTAAATAAACAGAAATAAAAACACCTGTGAATCGCAAAATATGGAAACTGTTCATTAACAGAGATTTTTACATATGTATATATGTATATATAAATATATGTGTGTGTGTGTGTGTGTGTGTGTGTGTGTGTGTGTGTGTGTGTGTGTGTGTAATAATATATAAATTAATGAAAATTCCTTTTACTTCTACTTTCTGCAGTAACATGACTGACCAAAATAAGAATATGAGTAACACTTTATTTTAATGGTTTCTTTAACATATTTTGTTAAATTTAAGTTACATTGCATCTACATGTCAAATATTCTTAATAGATAATTAGTCTGTTAGGTCTGTTAGGGTTAGTATTTGCATGTTCTTGCAAAGCTTCTTATAGTTAGTTAAATGTCTGTTGAAGGAGCAGTATCAACAGATATTGAGCAGGCAGTCTACTAATGTTCAAATGAGAATTAATTGTCATGTAACTGCAATGCGACTTTTAATCAACAAAATGTGTAATAGGGACCATCAAAATAAAGTCTTACCAGAATATATTGTGGTTTTTATATAGTTACTAAAGTAATTTTAAAAGTGATTATGATTAAAGTCATCTTTAAAAATTAAAAAATATATGAATATTTTGTGTTTGCGCTTGAAATAAACAGAATATTATCACACGTAATTGTGTATATTAACACAGTTTTCATAACATTTTATCAATACTTTTTAAATGAAAAATTCCTTCGAAATGTGAGCAGTGGGAATCAGCAGTGGTTTTTTATTTGTAAATTCTCCTCTCATTTCCGCAGCTAATCGTCCACCGAGCCTCCAAGCACCACAGGACGTCCTGCAGACCTTTGTAGGGGAGAACTTTGTGTACCAGTTGACAGCCGTGGACCCCGAGGGCTCAGCCTTGCTCTTCCAGCTGGAGTCGGGACCCCGCGGGGCCTCCATCTCCCCAGCCGGACTGCTCATCTGGACGGTTCGGGAGGAGCAGACGCACAGTTTCCGGTTCAGTGTGACTGATGAGTGTGACGCGCAGAGCACATTCACTACTGAGGTGAGAAACACTGACGCGTGCAAGACGGAGACGAGTTTTCATCAAACATGACTTAGTTTTGTTGAAATAAAGGTTTACGCTTTTTATTGTAAATGGTAAAGTCTGGTAAAAAAGTCTGGTAGAAAAAAAATCAAAATGGATATACATGTAAATGACATTACATTTAATAACATGAATCTATCTATCTATCTATCTATCTATCTATCTATCTATCTATCTATCTATCTATCTATCTATCTATCTATCTATCTATCTATCTATCTATCTATCTATCTATCTATCTATCTATCTATCTATCTATCTATCTATCTATCTATCTATCTATCTATCTATCTATCTATCTATCTATCTATCTATCTATCTATCTATCTATCCATCTATCTATCTATCCATCTATCTATCAATCTAACCTAAACAAACAAAATCTTTTTATTTTATATATATATATATATATATATATATATATATATATATATATATATAATTTTGTGTATATTTGTGTTTGAATTTACATAATAAATGAACAGAGTACACACATTATATAAATAAAAACGTTT